GGGGTGTTACTTCCAAGCATTTTTGGGCTTAGGTAGTATATGGTTTATGATACAGAGGTACAATCATGGGCCACAAAAATATAAATAATCAAAAGTTTGACAGGGGCCCTTGATGGTCCGAAGGGCAAAGAGCAGGTGCTCAAGCAATGCCTGACATCTTTCTGTGCACGTCCATGACCATGAGATACTGTAATCAGCATGTATCATAGTTCTGACCATGGTGATATTGGTACAGAGAGGAGATGATCAACATCCATCCACACTAAGCATGTGTATCTACATTGCCTGGCCAAAAAAATGTTGCCACCAAAAAAGAAGGCCATGCACTAATATTTGGTTGAATCACCTTTAGCTTTAATTACGGCACACATTCGCTGTGGTATTGTTTCAGTAAGCTTCTGCAATGTCACAAGATTTATTTCCATCCAGTGTTGCATTAATTTTTTCCCAAGATCTTTCATTGATGATGGTAGAGTCTGACCTTCTCCAGCACATCCCAAAGATTCTAGCCGGATGAAGCCTGGCATTGTCATCTTGGAATATGGCTCAGGGAAGAAACAATCCATTGATGGAATAACCTGGTCATTCAGTATATTCAGGTAGTCAGCTGATCTCATTCTTTGAGCACAGACTGTTGATGAACCTAAACCTGACCACCTGCAGCAGCCCCACATCATAGACCTCCGTTAAATCCAAGTGGCCAGGCAGTGTATGTTGAGGATCTCCTCTGGTCAGCTATATCCTGGTGCTTCTCTCAATCAGGTGTGTTTGATCCGTTCAATCTGCCAAAACAACAACAACAACTTTCTGCAGTTAAGGATTCAGTTACACTGTAACTTTGTTCTTATGTTCAGGCTAGCAGCGTTTCCCCTACCATCAGGGGCGTGGTGGCAATAGGGACATTCGGGAGGATTCCTGAATGGCCAGTCAGTTTCAGGCCAAATCGGCCGGTACGTTTGTTTTGTTTTTATCAACCTCATAAAACGTTGTTGTGGCTCGGTAGCCGCGTGGGCGATGCAGCTGCTGGATGCATAAATATGGCTGGATGGTGCAGCCGAACCACCAATGCAGGGCTCAGCCGATGGAATAGTTAAACGTCCAGAGCCGGCTCTTGGCATAGGCGAACTAGGCGGTCACCTAGAGCGCCATCTGCTGGAGGGGGCGCCAAACGGCAGAAGAAAAAAGTAATTATTTGTAATCCCTGGTTGTAACTCTGCTCAGTGACCCTTTCAATTAGATTTGTCTTAAAAAAACAATAATGAAGTATTACAGAATAAATAAACTACTCTACCCATAAAACATTTTCCGCCCCAATGCAACAATCGCCCCCACCCTCTCTCTCTCATTTGATTAGCTGTGTCTCCATCCAATTTTAATTCGAATTTTGAGCGAATTTTTAACATTTCGCAAAAATGTAAAAACGAAGAAATGCGAATCAGACGTGTTTCCATCAATTGGCTTGAAGCGCATCAGTTACATCAGACGCATGCGTGTAGTATACAGGAAGTTAAAGTCGCATCTCACGAAAATGGAGAGAAGTTATCAGGAACGTGTTGCTACTGTCGAGAAAGTTGTAATTATTCTGTCATCAACTAGTTTTGGCAATTTTACATGCAGTCAGGGGACGTAGAGGAAGTAATGCAATTCTTTTCACGTTACGGAATTAACTGAGAATACACAGACAGCGGGAGGAAGTTCCAGCTGAGAGTCGCGGCTGCACTCGCTCTGGTATCAGGACCGGTTTCGGACAGATAGCGGGAACAGCTGATCAACAAGTGAGGTAAATGTTCGCTATGTCAGACCTGATTTGAAAAAAATGATTTGATTTATTTATTTAACAGGAAAAGATTATTAAAAATCAAGCCTGACTCAGCATAATTGCTGTTTTACAGCAGGTTCCTGTTCTGCAGCACATAAACACTCAGAATTACAGCATCACAATCACATCATTATATACAGTACCATAGACACAAAGATAAACAAGCATACCAAATTTCAAAAAGGCAGCATTTGCAAAATAGGACGTCTAAATA